TATTTTTAGCTTCAATAGACTGAGTTACACATAGAATGGAAAATATTCAGCCTTTATTCCTTGTTTTGATGATTAGGATTAACAGAAAATAAAACCCCAAAATGTTTCTTTGAAACATAACAAAGCTGGATTCAAACACTAGTTATATGAAGTGTTTCCACAATAAAACAGCTTAGATTGTTTAATGGATTGTCTGGTTATAGAGTTTCTAAATAGAAACATGTAAATTCCCAAAAAACAAAAAAAACAACAACAATCCACTGCAGTTTAAAGACGTTTCTCTTCCATCCAGGAAGATTTTTCAATTCCAAATGTCAGAAATAGCGTTTAGTTCCAGGTTTTATCCAGCAGCCCAACAAAGCCTGGTTTTCACTGGAAAAAGTAATTTTTTCTTAAAATAAGTGCATTTGTTCCTGGATTGAGGAGGTAAATAAGAGCCTCTGCCAATGAAACAATTTACATTTAAAATAAGAAAAAAACAATTGCATTTTCTTATTTCAAGTGCATTTTATCTAATTATCTTATTTTAAGAGTAAAAATAATTTACCTATTGAAATGAAAGGTTTCATAGAATGCAAACCTAGTTTCCATTGTCATAGATGAAGAACGATAGTTCAGTTGGTGAAATGGACGTACAGAGAAGTTCAAACCCCATCAACTAAATGGTAAATGACCTGTACTTATATAGCGCCAAAGTCAGGAGACTTTGACCAAAGCGCTTTACACTACATTCATTCACCCATTCACTCACACACTGATGGTGGCGAGCTACATTGTAGCCACAGCTGCCCTGGGGCTCACTGACAGAAGCGGGGCTGCCGTACATTGGTGCCACCGGGCCCTCTGACCACCATCAGTAGACAATGCAGGTGAAGTGTCTTGCCCAAGGACACAACGACACTGAAAGTCGGAGCCGGGGCTTGAACCGTCGCCACTGTCGCCCTCAACTCCTCCTTTCTCTGCAGATCTCACAATTCTAAACTTCCACCATAAAACAGGCGGATCCAGATAAAGCAACGAGTTGACGTAAACTCTGGGATGTTGCCTTATTTGGTTCTGGCCTGGACTTTTATCACGCCCTGAAATGTACATCCAGACCAGCCCACTGGTTCACGGCCCAGGAACATGAATAGAGGAAGATGAAAGACAGCAGTTTAGCTGTTTAGCC